TCAAAATGCTCGCCAAGGATGTTGCCCTGCTCTTCAAGATTGCTTGGGCATTTTCCATTTCTGGAAAGAAGTGGAATAGTGAAAGCATGATATGAGCCATTTACTTTATGAATCCTGTCCCATACTTCCTTGGAAAAAGTACTACTATTGATAGAGGACGCATATTTTTGCCAGCTCTCACGTTTCGCTTTCCGACGAATGTACCTAGCACGAGCTTTCATTTTTCGGAAAGATATCAGGTTATCCCGAGTCGGATAACGTCTTAGAACACTCCAAGCTTTGTTTTGCTGTTTGCGACTGTCTTTACAGTCTTCATTCCACCATGGCTTCGGTCGTCTAGGGAGCTGTCCAGATGACCGAGAGATTGAGAGTGACGCTGCAGTGAGAATATGGGATGTTAAAAGATGGCTGAGTTCATCAATCGAAAGCTGATCGAGGCGAGAACAGGCCAGGAGTGACGACTGCTTAAAAAGGCTCCAGTTTGCTTTTTCAAACTTCCAGCGTGGATGGCGCGTAGATGAAGACTGCGGAGTGTCGTTACATATTAAAATAATGGGAAAGTGGTCACTTCCATGGGGATTCTGATCAACAGTCCATGCAAAATCGGGAAGCAGATTTGCACTGCCAATAGAAAGATCGATGCATGTAGATGACAAGGATGAAGGACTAAAATATGTAGGACGGCCAGTATTAAAAATGCATAATGAGTGTGAAAATAGTATAGATTCGATTATCTTTCCACGTGTATCTGTATGATCACTTCTCCAGAGGGTACTATGTGCGTTAAAATCACCGAGTAAAAGAAAGGGCTCTGGAAGCTGACTTAAAAGAGAGTCGAGATGTTATCGCTTCAGAGAAAGAGAAGGTGGAAAATACACTGAACATACAGTTATGGCTTTATACAACAAGAGACGAACAGCGATAGCTTCGAGTGGCGTCTGAAGCGGAACCTCTGCACACGGAATATGTTTTGGAAGCACCACCGCAACGCCGCCACAAGAAATGGACGTGCAAGGGCGGTCTTTACGAAACACACTGTAGCGTCTCAGAAAGTTAGTGTGAGATGTATTCAAGTGTGTTTCCTGCAAGCATAAAGGCCTGTTCACACATACAGCGGAGCGCTTCTGTAGCGCTACGTGAGCGCTCCAAGGAGCGCTCATGTGGCGCTTCTCGCGCGTGACTTAGTTCTAATATAGCGCGCGATTAGCGCTGTTGTAGCGCTTTGTTAGCGCTTGTGTAGCGCTTTGTTAGCGCTTCAGTAGCGCTCTGTTAGCGCTCCAGTAGCGCCTTGTTAGCGCTCCTTGTACCGCGGTGCTGCGGATTAGCGCGTGCACTGCGGTTCCGGTTCCTGTGGTTGGGTGTGCATCAGAAGCACCATGGCGGACATGTGGGATGCTGAGATAGAAATGCGACAAATTCTGTTGCATACACAATTAGTGCATATGTGTGTGGACGGCCCAACGCCAAGAAGAGCCTTCTGGGTTCGTGAAATCTTTCGGCACTGAGATAGCGACGGGTACCCGGCGAACCTTGTTCCTAGGCTGAGGGACCGAGACACGGAGCTTTTTCGAAGGTGAGTGTTAGTTCTTGCATAAATAAAACAATCATGAATGTCCTTCTCATTTACAACCGGGAACCCAAATGAATAGACGTGCAATTACATTTCCAGCTTCCTACGTATGACGCCCGCTGGCTTCACCAGTCTACTCGAGATGGTTCGCCCCCTGATAACTCGACAAGAGACACGATGGCGGCAGAGCATCCCGCTGACCAACGGCTCATGCTGACACTGAGGTACGCGAGCTTCATTTCTAAAAGCACTACTCGCTCGCAAATACTTCGAACATTTCTACCGTGGCAACAGAGCAAACACCGTGAAACATATAACTTTCTAAATTCGAAAACAATTTCAATATGTAGTATTTCACTGAAGGTGCTTCGATAATAAGAATCCTAATATTTGAAGGCACGAGTATTAAGGTCATGCGTCTTTTTATGGGTGCTATAAAATGCGCTGGGTGTTTAGAAATAGTATTCACTGGCGGAATCGCGTTCGTTGTAGGGCGCCTCGACGTCTGTCTGACAGGGTGAAGACACCCTTTGTCGTACCGAATGCCGCCTGCACGTGCCAAGAAAAGATATATACAAACATTGGCCAAAGAAATGAGGAGGCTATGCTTCAAAGCACTGACTATAAAGCTCAGCGCTCGAGCCGGGTGACACCGGAGCGCGTGTACTTTACAAAAACATGGAAAGCGATGGGGAAGGAAATTTTCCAAGATGTCATCGGTCGTTGTAAAATCCCTCAATGTTTCTTTTTTTTTTTTTTTATCGAGGGAGTTTACGTTGTTGTTGCTGAGCGCGCGCTAACGGGGACCTCAGTTTTTATTCAGGAACGTATACCCACACCATCGATACCACTGATCTCTATGACAATTTGCTGGAGCGCGCTTGCACGCGATTGTGGCCACCGGGTCGGCTATATTCTGGCCATACCAACATGGGCATCGCAGACGCTGTGGAGGCTGCTTGTGCTGCCCTCCTCCAGTGCTGCGCTTCACCGATTCTAACCTTTATAGCAGTCGCCGCAATGTCTCGTCGGCCGTGTTGGTATGCCCATAAACATAACCGACCGGTGGTCGCATTTGCGGGGCAGTAAGCTCGATCCAGCAAGTGATTATAGAGATCACTGATCGAGACTGGCATTCTTGGCAGACGATAAAATATTATTCTTTCTGAGCCTGTGCTGTAAGCGGAGGGCGCAAGTACGGCTATCAGTGACGTCATTTAAATGCCATGTATTAACCTAAGCAATGCACATGCTTTTCTTTGAAATGCAGTATCTTTATTTGGCTGATATTTAGTTTTCAAAGTAATGATAATTATGTAATGTGTGCTCATAGGTTCCTTGGAAGTGGAGATACCAAAAAAAAGTATATCATTTGGATTTCTCACCGGGCACTCAACAACGAGCGTGATAATTTCAAGCACGTGCCAGGCTCTATGGCAGTGTCTCGTTCCGAACTACGTGAAGAAACCGGGCTCGCCATCAGAATGGGCGTCTGTTGCTGACGACTTTCACAGGTTGTGGAATTTTCCAAACTGTGTTGGCGCCATGGACGGAAAGCACATAACCATCGAGTGCCCGCTGCTGAGTGGATCAAGACATTTCAACTACAAGCACACATTCAGCAAAGTAAATTGGGCCATATCATTTTCACGTGATAACTTGGATTTTTTTTTCTAAATATTGCATCCAGAAAAGTGATGAAATTTAAAGACATACATCGCAAAATAAGAATACAGACAGGAAAGGCACGCAACAGCCTCTTCGTAGTTATGTTGCACGTCTTTCTTATAAGTAAGTCACGAACTCCCTCACGCTTCTCTGTTTATAACTTTGGAAGTTTACTCAACGGTTTACTCGCTACATTATAAAACTCTGTTCTGAATTACTTGGTTGACCAGCACACTTTCTAATATACACTTGTATTATATTTTTCAGGTCCTAATGGCTGTCGTTGACGCCCGGTACCGCTTTTTGCTGGTGGACATTGGCCGACCCGGCAGTGAAAGCGATGGCGGCATTTTATCAAGGAGTGAGATCGGACTGAGCCTGGAAAAGGGCACATTGGGCTTTCCTCCATCGAAGTCCCTGCCCGGGACAAGCAAAGAAATGCCATTCGTCATAGTCGGAGATGAGGCATTTCCTCTGAAAACATATTTAATGAAACCATACCCCAAAGTGGATATCAACAAAGACCAGAACGACGAAGGCAAGGGAGAGGCGCTCAAGAAGTGTGTATTTAACTACAGACTGTCCCGAGCACGGAGGGTTTCAGAAAATGCTTTTGGAATCCTCTCAAACCGGTGGAGAATTTTTAGAAGAACTTTCAAAGCATCTGAAAAGAACACTGTTGCCTACATAGGCGCCTGTGTTGCCCTTCACAATTTTCTGCTTTCTGAGGTCCACAGCCGAAGCATCTACTGCCTTCCAGCTCTTCTTGAGAGGGAAAATGACAAGCATTTGGCTGAAGGGCCAAGCGGAGCAGAAAACACTGAAGGGCGCACAGTGCTCCAACACCTCCCTCGCTTGCCCAGCTCAGCCAAACATGACCAGCCAGCGGCTCAAGTTCGGAATGATTTTGCAGACTATTTCTCTGGTCAAGGTTCTGTCAAGTGGCAAAACAAGATTGTCACAAGAGCGAGTTAGATTTATTGGTGCATGAGGTGTTTCTCTTCGTAGTCCAACAGCTGTTGTTGCACAACGGACATTGCCCTTAAGGCCTGCAGCCTAGGCATCTTTCTCAGGCGCTCGGCCACCATCATTCCAAAGTGATGAAAGTCGTCATTTTGGCGAGTCATCTGCTGCGCCAGCCTTGCTTCGTTCAATCCCCGGAGATTTTCTTTGATACAGTATACGATGTCTTGGCTTCGTCTTTGTCTGTGATATATAATTTGAACAATAGGAAGAAGTTTATTTTCTTGACATATGTTGCATGGTTTTCATGTTTTATATTTTCACATAATTATCTTTTTACTCGTTATTATAAAAGGATGTTATTATAAAGTGCGACACTGTAAAATGGAAAACCAAACAACTGCTTTTTATTTTACCTCACCCTACACTTTATAAATTTCAATAATGGCGTCAAGAAAAAGGCACGAAGGATTGGCGCACTCCACTCATACTCCATTTCTTGTTTTTTTTTTTTTTTTTCTCGCATAAAACGTTTTCTGACTCAGAAATATACATAAATCAGCAAAGCTTCCTAGCCTTGCGGTTTTCATCCCGGATGCGAAACGATTTGATTCGTTTAGCAGCAGTATAACTATGAGTTCTGAAAGGGAGAGCTGTGGAAGCCACGTCGATCATTAGTCCTACCAATATATACGGCAGAACCTTGGGACTCGTATCTTTTGGTCGCAGCCACGCAGGAATACATTTAAAAAAGGAAAAGTATAAGATTGTACAACCATAAAAATCTGCAAGCATATACCTCGTTGTTCCTTTGCCCGTTGTTTGTGGAGCTCTGTAAAAGAACATGCCGGATTACGGCAGCTCGGAATGAAAGTGTTTATTACAGATACTACTTCTTTAATAAAAGCGTAAATAATGAAGCGAAAACGTCAAATTCAGTTTAAAAAATCTTGGCTTTTAAAACCAATTTGGTTGTTCGTACGATAAAAAGAAACACTTCGTGGTATCAGCAATTTTGTTTTGTCTCTATGTCCATATCTGCCGCCCTCAAGAAATTACCGGCAAAGAAATAATCATACATTATGAAAATAAATATTAAAACTTAAAATAACTAAACAAAGAACACCAAAACTTACGTCTCACCGCGTCCTTGCTCTAAGGTATTTGTCCTGGAGGAAGAAATAATGTTATTTTAGTAGTCTTTGATCTTGTGCAATAAATAGAGTGAAAACCAAGCTCACGTGTCTTCTGTAATCTCCGTTGTTGAACTAGTTTCGGAGCTGCAAATTAAAAGTTTTGTTTCGAGAAGAGTACAAAAATTGCACTCATTTTCTACCAATAGACATCCCAGGCAGCACACCATTGTTGGACCCCCGTTGGCTCAATGTTGGAAAAAAATGGCTCCAATATTGGTCTGACGTTGGCATTTTTCGAAAACGCTACCCGATCCAATGGTGGTCCAAGATTGGTGCCAATGTTGGACCACTGGTTCGCCAACTTCCTAGCCCACGTTGGACCAACGTGGTTTGCGCTTTTTTTTCCAATATTGGCATAGAGGTTTCACCATTGGCTGAACCAACATTGGCACCCAGCGCCCTACACACTGGCTCTTCCAACATTGGCTTAAATATTGGCATCCAGTTTTATACACTGGCTATTTTTTGCATCCATTGTGTATGCTATTATTGGATGCCATTTTTCAGCCAGTGGTCTAACCAGCGTCACAAGAACAGTGCAGAGAACCAAGCAAGTATCTTGCCCTTTTTTCTCAACACTGTTTTCTGTCTGATACTAAAATCTAATAAATGCAGCCATTTTACCGTATTTGGATACTTTATAAATCATTAAAGCTTGCAAAGGAATTGTTCATAACGTTTGACAGTTCATAATTTATTTAAACCGAATAAAAATATTTAAAACATTCTGCAATCAGGGGAGCCTATGCAGACTCGGCAGCAGGCTCGGTAGTGGACAGGGCAGAGGGCTGGGCAAAGGGCTGGGCAAAGGGGTTCCACGCAGGGGCCTTGCCACAGGATTCTGAAAGAGACAGAAGTGGGGGTTTGCATTCAGGTGAAGGGTTTCAGAGGCTCTTAGTTCTCTCTTACGCTTGTCAAAAATGAAGATCAAAATAAAATATAGCTTCATTATTAATCGCCATTTAATTAACTATTCGATTAATCGGTTCTGCTTCTCAAGTATAAAATCTCGACAGGCCTACCGAATTTTTTATGTTTACTTTTCCATATTATAAACTTTGTTTTCGAGCGAATTATTTTTCGTTATTTTGTATGTACAAAACTGAGTACTGCCTTCTAAAATAAACAGATGCGCAGGTAAGACACCGGGGCCGGCTTGCTGGAATCAGTGTCTCAGCTGAGACTGGGTGAAAGAAAGCACTGTAAAGGCTGGGACGCGCGAGCGTCTTGAGTCGAGGTTTTAGTCCCGTTCAACTCGTACGCTGGCTTTGACAGTGCTTTCTTTTCCCCCGTCTAAGCTGAGACGCTGTTTCTAGCAAGACGGCCCAGGCGTTTACTATTGTTTTGTTCGTCCGACTTGTCCTTACTCAGAGCTCGATCGATCTAGATTAAAATATTCATAGTGATTTAAAAAAATTAATCAAATAGTACGAAGGTTATTTCATAAATTGCTCAGCTCTACTCTTGTAATGTCATGGCGGCCCTTAACCTTTCTTTTAGCTTTAAGAAGCCTTAGGAATTACAATCTCGCTATTTAAGTAAACACGGATATTTCTACGTTGATTTGAAAAAAAAAAAATGTTTTTAAGATTTCCGGCTTTCGCGGCACAGAAATGTGTAGTTATAAATGTAGTCATATTGCCTCCATAATATTTACAATTTATAAATCCAACCTCTGGCACCCTCTTTAGCTCACCAGTGTCAAACGCACTACTAAAATAAGAGTTCAATAATTACCCTTTATACGTAAGAGCCTGAAAGTCGAACAGAACTGGATGCTTGAATCAATCAAGAACTTAAAATAAATCACACACATAAAATAGCTTATCGTGTAAAGACAATAACTGGCAATTACACTCGCAGAGCGCGGTGACATAACCGACACTCCACTCGCACCCAACAAGCCGAACCTTGGCAAATAAGGACTACTCAACGCTCTGTGGTATTCGGCTTTGGACCTACCGGGAGGACTTTTTACTAAAGCACACATATACCGCCAAGACGACAGCCACGTTTTAACAAAAAAAATTAAATAAAAATGACTTCGAACACAGAAATAATCAATCAGAACGTCTCTCACGGTCTATTAGGATAAAAAAGCACTTACAAATAGCGCTGTACAGGGCCTTTCGGGCCGATCGCTGTGAATTACACACTGAACTCGTCGGAGATTCCTTGCACAGAGTTCGACACGGTTCAAACTCATCGGATAGTGACAAAACGTACATTGCGTAGCAAGAATACCTATCCCCATGGTCAGGAGGACATCTCCTTGTCACTCACATGGAAGAGAGAGCGGTCCGTCGTGTCTTCGGTCCGTCGAAGCTAGTGGTCACACGTATGCCCACAACGAAGGAAGAACACCGATGTGCAGGCGCTGTCGAAAGAATATCCATGGTCCTGGCAATCCGCATGTTGAAGATCGCACTTGGCACTAAGACGAAATGCGCTGCTGGTGATCGGAACTCTAGAACCATGGCGGAGATGCCGAGCCGCCTCGCCCGATAAGAACAGTCTGCTAAGCAATCAAATGCACTCAGACAACTTAGAAAAGGACACCACGGTGCCTTGATATCCGCATGATTATCTTGCCGTTCTTGTGCCTTGGAAAAAAGAGCTATTTCTGCCACACACAAGAAAAAGCATTCATAAATTGTGAAGCGCGTCTGCCAACTTGCAGTTCGCGGATGCGCGTGTTGGAAATTGAGGAGACCGTCCCCACCGTCTTCCAGTCGCTACCTTATCGTGTGGCCTTGATGCACGCGATCCCACTTTCTGTGTGCGTGGGTGTGTGGGTGTGCGTGTGTTTCACGTTATGGACTCCATCACCCCTAAGCTGAGAGTGCAGAGGAAGCTAAGAAGCCCGGTGAACTAATCGCAGGTCTATTTTTAATCACGTGATCACGCTCTTTCCCGCAACCACGCGCAGAGAGCGGTGCGGCTGATGACTGGTCCGGCCGGCGCGTAGCTTCCCCGGCACTGTCAGCTTAGGAATGCGCAGTGTCCTCCTCCCTCAAGGTCGCCGAGTTCTCTTCACTCACAAAGCAGAGATTAGTGACGGCGTGGGGAAAATGGGAGGGGAAGCCGTTCCGAGGCCGTCGGCGCGACCCCTCCCGTGCATACTTCTCTCTCTCGAATCCACCACTTTCCGAGTTTCCGGTTCGAGGGTAACCCGAGGCACATGTTGCCAGGCCGGATTAGTGGCGTAGGAAAACAAAGTCAGGAGAACGCAGCTTGGCGGTTCAAACGAGTGTCGCTAGAGGCCGACAGCGTCTACTTTCTCCCCTGGTGGCGGTTCCGCCCTCGATCTTTACATGAAGGGTTCACGCATCCGCCGCAACGCACCGAAAGGCTGCGAAGGCGCTGAGGTAGCGCCGACATCTCCCGCCGTTTGCGGTTTCCGGCGAGAGCGCGCGGCGCGTCTGGCGTCTGCTGGTCTGCTCGTCTGCTCCTCGTCCCTACCAACGGCCCAACGGTTTTCGTGTGGCGCGCGCACTGTTTTGGTTGCCTGTTAAAACTAGGGTCGAACAATGCTTCGAAAAATGGAATTGAGCTTTCAAAAGGTTTGTGTAGATACTGTTTAGATACTGTGTAGATACCGGTTTAGCTTCTTAAGTTTTGTTCTTTCGTTTCCCAGCGGTAAGTTCCGATCGGTAAGTTTCGTCTCTCCGCCAGCGCTTATTAAAGGGCAACTCCGCTCAATTCCGAAAAATCTAGGCTTCCATGTGATTCACATTCACAAAGTAATACTCAACAACTCTACGTCTTCGGATTCGCGAAATGTGGAATAATATTTATGTAATCCTAATTTAAACATCAGCAGATACCGAAACTTCGGTTGCGTCAGGCAACATTGGTCTCGGGTCGTCACAGTCATGAGCACCTCACGTCGAACCACGTGGTCTTGTGACGTTCGGGAGGGAGCGAGGGACGTTCGGGAGGGAGCGGAAACGCGACGCGGGCAGGTCCTTTTTTTTTTTTTTTTTTTTTTTTTTTTTTGGACGCGGGCAGGTCGCTTTGCATGGCGTGGACGGTGATGGCCCGGGGGAGAGGGGGAAGGGGAAAAGACGAAAGAGAAGGGGAGCGGAGAAACAGACCGATAAGCGCGCAGGGCAGCGGTGATCACGTGAACGCCCGGTCAGCCAACACCGGGAGGAGAAACTCATGACGTCATCGTTAAATTTCGCTCTGAAAAGTAAAAACAAGCAAAACGTGAGAATGAAGTATGCATGCCTCTGACGTAGTGGTTCAACGTTGGCCGCTCCAACTCCGTGGCATTGACTCCGCTGATGATTGCGCCTCGCGCCGCACGCTAGAGTTGGCAGATTTCGGCGACTTGGCTCGCTTGAAGGTTCGCTGGCCAGTTTATTAAATATATAGACGGAATTAGATCGTAATATTTGACATGGGGTCTTCCTATATAATACTGAAGAGGGCTACATAGTTTTCTAAATATCAAAAATGAAGCGGAGTTGCCCTTTAACGAAGGATGACTCCTCGTATGGATATGCGTGGTTAAGTTTCTGGGCGTGATCAGTGGATCTCGAAGCACATCAGGATTCATTCAAGACTCGGATGAAACAATTTGCAGCAAGGGATTTGCGTGGTTCATTTTGGGGCCGGTCATCTTCACGAGCTAAAAGGAAGCCGTCTCAGGACGACTACCCGTGTCACGATTCTTTTTGATGTCATGTTAACCGCTGAAGTTGAATTATCGTATTTGTTAAGATGCATAATCTTTTCTTTTTTCACCTCCGACTGAAATTGATTTTCGGACCGTGCGTTCAGTTTGACGGTTGTTTGTTTTTCACCTATTTTCGTTTGAAACTTGTTCGTTAATTCATACTCGTTTAATTCACCTTTTTTTTGTGTGTGTGTGTCTGGGGGGGGGGGGGGGGGGGGCGCGTAAGAAAGGTTTTCAGAACGCACTCTTTTGAAGAATTGTCGAAAAAGCAAGCGATCTCTGTTCTCGTTCGCCGAATCTTTAGGGCCAGAGTTCGTTCTGAAGGACTTTAACATGCCCTAAAACAGTGTACATATTTTTTGTTGGCAATAAAGACAACAATATGGTTTTTGAAACATGT